TGCTTATAAACGAATCGCTTAATAAAATTGTGAAGTGACTTCTTTGGCTGTCAACTCTTAAAAAGTTTTTGCTGTAATTATGTGTCGAGATTTCTGTTCCATCAGGAAGTTTAACGTTAAAGGACTTATGGTTGGTTGTTTTTGTATAACGCCATATCAAACTCTATTGGTTATTTAAATGCCGAAGTGTAAATCTTTCGTACGTAATGTGATTTGATTTTTTCGCAAATAATAATAGTTTTAATGATACAAGTCTTGCTAATTAACCTATAACTTGGAGGAGCAGAAGAGAGTATTTTCATGTAAGTGAACCCAACTGGAATTGGAACAAGGCTCTCTCTAAAAAAAAAAAAAAAGAAGAAAAAGAAGAAAAATGAGTTATTGTATGAGGACGCTCGTAGTTATAACATTGATGTGTGTTGACTCTAAGAAACTAAAATAAAAAAAATGGAATTGATATTAATATCGGGCTTTGATAGAACAAGAATAAGATTAATAGCTTTGGAAACAATAAATACTAAGCAAATGTTTTTCACCAATACCAAATTGATGAATAGAATCCATAGGCATTGGAAGAGCAACGATATTTCAACACATTGTAGCGGACCGTGAGTTTACATGTTGTTAAATTAGGAACACGTGTGTAACTCCTGATAAAATATTAAAAGGTCCACTATAAGAATATGGCGGACTCAAGTTGAATCCAACCGAAGATGTAAAGAAAACAAACTTGTACTTTGATGAATGTTCGTACGTATGTGTATGTGTGTCATAGCGTTTTCCCACAAGTGGGCAAAACGCAGATCTCTGCGAAAGATCACATCTTTCAAATGTGTCCGCTGAAATGCAAAGTAAAAAGAGAACATGGCAATAATCGCCAAGTAGTGTAAGGAGAGCGTGCCCTATGAACGATTAGGAAATTAAGGAGAAGTTAACTCCGACAACATTAAAAAAAAAAAAAAAAAAAAAAAAGAAAAACATTAAAAGAACTCTCAATAAACTTCCTTCCCGTAAAAACCTTAAAGCGTTTGGAAGAAATGCAACGCTTTTGTGAGTCGGTTGGAGAAGAATAATAATAAGTATTTGCGAAGTTGCTGAAGATGAGATATCATACTGATTTGCAATGTGCCTTCAAGTCATAACAGCTCTCATTATATTGATGATGATAAATACGGAACTTACGTTTAATTAGGATTACGTTAGAATAGAATTTTCATACAAAGATCACAAGGAGAATGACGACAGTATAGTAGTGGTATGTACCGGGCCGTGGGTTTACGTGTTGTTAAATTAGGAACACATGCGTTTATTCCTGCTAGAGAAGGTCCAACTACAAGAACATGGCGGACTCAGATACTGAATCCACCATAAAGAAGTGTAAAGAAAACCAACAAGACCGATATATATCAACAAATATATGTATTAATCAACAAAATTTACAATGGATATATGCATTAACATTTGTGTTTGTGAGTGAACGTAAAGAGTTTGTATTTTGGTGAATGTTCGTACGTACGTGTATGTGTGTATAATGTTCATGGCGTCTTCCACAAATGGGAAGACGCAATCTTCTGCGAGAGCTTAAATTGTAGATGTGTTCGCTAAAAATGAAGAAATGAAAAAGAGAACGAGGCAAGAAATCGCCCAGAAATTATAGTGTAGGGAGAGCGTACCCTAGTGAACAATTTGGACAATTAAGGAGGAGTTAACTCCGACAAGTAGTAATGGTAATATTGGCCATTTCCTTATAAGAAAACATTCATTGACCGAGCAGCATGGTTGCTGTCGGTGGAGGGTGATAAAATATTTCTCATCTGACCCCAGACCTCAAGTGGAACTCGTACATACGTTCCATCGCTTAGAACGCAGGAAAACTGGTAGGTTCCATGTACCGCTCCAGGCAGTACCTGACTCCTCGTGCTATCCTCTACCGTTACAAGTTCCAGAACAGGTCGATAATGGAATACTGTTGTCATATTTGGATAGGAGTTGGCCAGTTCTCATTTTCCAGTGTCGATAGAGTCCTAAAACATATCGCGTCCTTGTGGGTGACAAATTATTTTCCAGCCTGCAACCCCCGCTCTCACAAGCGGGACGTGGTAAGCTTTTCACTGCTCTATCGCTACTTCCATAGAAAGTGCTCAGACGAACTGCATTCCTTTGTTCAACCAATTCTAACTTGCATTTCTAGGACCCGCTATTGTAGCGAACCACCCTCTTTCCCCTGTATTCATTTGGTGAGAAGTAAGTTCCACTCGAACTGCTTCAAACCACTGATCTGTGGAACTGTTTCCCAAGAGGATGTTTCCCCGATCACTACAATCTTAACTTGTTCAAGTCTAGGGTTAACCGATATCTCCCCACCTATCCGCAGAAAATGTGCTTCTTACTCAGTAACCCTTTACCTCGAGTGGTCCACAGGCCTTGTACAGGGTGAATCTCACTAAAAAAAAGTCAACATATTATGTCATTATTTTCTCTTCGAGTTACATGTAATATTCATATTAGCTGTTGCTGTTGTTGAAGTGATGAGGTTTCTGATAACTCGTCCAGTTCTTTGAAATTCTGTAGCGCCTGTCCACAATATTCGAAGAAGACTGGTCTTCTCAAAGCAATTTTTAACCTAGAAAGCGGTTGTATACAGCTGATAGTTTAGAAGAGATATTTCAGAACGGGTTTGGAGCCATACATGACAATTTATCCACTAATATAGCACACATGATGAAAAAATGCCTCATACTTAATAAAAACAAAATTTCATAGTCAAAATCTCTATGTTATTATTAAGAGGAAATACTAAAGGATTTTTTGATTATTAAATTATATATTTTTTTTTTTCGAACGGTCGAAATCTTGATTAAAAATCTTGTTTTTCTTGCGTTAGCGAGGGGATCAAAGATTAGTATAAAAAATTTTAGCGTCTTTTTCTGCGGTGAAAAATACATTGATTTGGAAATTCTTGCAAAAATCAAATAATTGTTGGATTTTAATGTAACTTTCAGGACTTACTCACAAATGAATTAAATTATTTTAAAAATGCTTCTTTATTTTAGAAAATCTTGGTAAAAACACTTTTTTTTTACATTTGTTTCCCACCACTTAATTTTATGAAATTTCGAGTAATTCATTTTTGTACCGCTCATTAGAAATACACAGAACTTCTTGCAGAATTTAAATCATCAATTTTTTTTACGTAAAACAGGACCTGCAGTTACAAAAAATCTGCCTTGAATCGTAAAATAAGAACAGCAATAAAACTAAAGCAGGAACTAGAAAAGTTTTTAATTATTTTTATGAATAAAATATATGAACACTATTGTCTTAAGAACAAATATTTTCGATGAAAAATGAATTTTTAGAAAAATTTTCATTTTTTAAAAAATTTAATTAAAATAATTTATAAAGTTTTAAATCTTTTAAATTTTTATGTCCGTATTTTATTTTCTGTATTAATTTTTACCGGTTAGTTGATATTGTTATTATTTAAAAATTATACTACAATTTAGCGAAAGTTTCGAACTAACGTGACTAAGAGCATGACTAGTTTTGAAGTGAATGTTTTTCTTTTGTAGTAATTTGTGCTGTTGGGCGAAACTACCCCCAACGTTCAATTTCCTTTTTTCCTTATCCTTGTCTCGGGCCGGTGTGTACACGTTGTGAGATGAAACACGAGCGTCTCCTAAAATGGCCCACAACAAAACATGGCGGACTCGGAGATTGAATGCACCATAAAGAAATAATAGAAGCAACAAGAACCAATATATATGTACAGACAAATAATAATGTATTAAGCAACAAACGGTTTACAAAATGACATAGAAAATAATGTGTGTATGCATGAAGTGAGTGAATGTGCGTGTGAATTGTTCATGGTGTTTCCCCCAAAGGGGAAAAATGCAAATCTCCGCTAGAGATTTACATTGCTGTAGTGTCAGCTGAAAAGTGAGAAGAAAAAGACGGCGAGAAAAGATATCCCAAGTATTTATAGAACTGAAGAGCGTCCCCTAGTAACAGTTTGGAAAATTAGGAAATTAGGAGGAGTTAACTCCGACATCCTCATAATAAATTTGTTATATAACTGATCCATACACAGAGATATTTGAAAGTGTTTGGTATTTACTATATACTAAACCTGAATTTTTATGATGGATTCAGGGTAAATGCCATCATTGTTTTCATTTCAATTCCGGATCAGTGTTTATTTTTCTCAAATTGAGAAAGAGTAACTATTCGATATTACGGAAATTAATGTGTATATAAAAAAGACTTGGTTCTTTTATGTTTCATGTCTCTTCAAAACGCCAGCGTTCATGACTACCCAGTCATAACTCTCTCTGTCTTTTGTTGATCTAGGTGACATCTGAATCTTTACCACCTCCCGTTTTTTTCTGTTCTGCTATCAATTTACACAAATTTGTTAAATTGGTTACTCGCTGTTTCTCATTGCTTCTCTTGTGATCAGTAGTGTTAAATGGGATTGTTAAATTGCCCAAATATTTATTATTCAGTTTCAGCTGTCTCTTTCTGATTGAAACTATAAGTTTCCTTGTAGTCTTATTTTTCTTAAAACTTACTCGTTACTCTCATATGTTCTGTCCATGGTATTCGCGTTATTTCTCAGTAGAACTGTCACTTCACGTCTCTTCCCCATCTACGAAGAGATTGTCCAGTTATAACTTATTTACAGTACAATTTTTCATTCACCCCCCCACCAAAAAAAAACTCCACAATTTTCATTCTCCCCAATGCTAGATTCATACAAAGAGCCTACACTATTCGACTTGAAATAAATACAGGTATACCACGAATTTTCTGGCATTTCTTCTTAAGGATGTGAGCGATCATGTCTCTCCACAACTTCCTATTTTTTTGCTTTAAGTAACTCTTTTACCACCCATCTTTATCTTTCAATGAATGGATATTAGAACAAGCGCCACAAACGCATTAAGTAGGTTACTTACTGTTTTCTTTCACTTCTCTTGTCTTTATAATATACTGATTTGCGGTCACATTACGTTGAAACACTAGTTCCAGTATATTCACCGAAGTTAAGCAACGTTGAACCTGGTCAGTACATAGATGGGTGACCGCTTGGGAATACCAGTTGTTCTAAACTTGAAATAATGGATAACAGCTCGGAATTATTAATTGGAGAGTCGAATTACAATTCTCTTTGGGTTCGTTATATTCACTTACGCGCAAATACCTTTGGCAATGTATGAATCCATCTCTTCTCCCTCTAGCTATGGGTTAATTAGTAAGACATTTATCACTAAATCATTAATATCGTAAAACTACATTACCGTGTCTTTTAGATTTATTTACATTCTCTGGAATATAATTGTATACAAACTACCATGACCACAAAGTGAGAGATTTGTTTATATAATGATTTTAATATAGAATTGATCCATCACTTTATAGCCACCTCATAATTTTTTATTTGTTTATCAAATTCTGATTAGGTATGAATCCACGTCTTTCCCCCAGTTATGGGTTAATTAGTAAAAACTAAATTAAATTACTATTATCTAAAAAAATCTTACAATCTAAATATATTTTCTGGCTTTTAATAACCTGTAAAGGGTTGATAAGCCGTTGAAACGAATCAACTAGATAAAATATGCTATGCTCTGTGAGTGTTAAATACTTCAAACCTTCTTTCCTCATTATGTGTCTAAATATTTTAGCTTATTGTGAGCAGCACTTCCTTTCTAGTTCCTATTTTCCTTCAAACTTCCTCATTGCTCGTATGTTCCGTCCAAGGTATTCTCAGCATTTGTCGATAGAATCGTATTTCTATCATTTCTTCTCTAATCTAAACTATCAGCTGTATACAATCGCTTTCTAAGATCAATGATCAAAAATGACTTTGAGCAAGTGAAACTTGTGGATCTTGGCAAAAACCATTCCTTTTCGAACATCTCTGAGATTGTCCATTATTCACTGCGATGCAGGAGATTAGATATTACATAGCACTTCAGCAATCTTTTCTTTTTTTCTAACGAAATGTTTCTTAACTTTAAATGTTTTGCTTAGTTTCTGGTAGGCATCTTCACCTATTCCGATATGCATTTAGATTTCCGTGTAACATTTTCTGTGTCTTTTACTAGACTAAAAGCGTTTGATAAAGTACGTCGCAAAGATCTGCTGGAACTGTCAGGTAACATTGAAACATGTGGGAAGGATATTAGAATAATCCAGAACCTGTACCAGTAGCAGACCACTTGCATGCGGATAGGGAAATGAGTTCAGTAGCTATACAAAAATAAAAAAGTGGGGTGTAAGACAAGGAAGCGTAGTCTCACCAGATTTTTTCAACATATACAGCGAGGCCATTCTGAGAGAATTAGAAGTCATAACAACATTCATTATTGACAGCCACAATCTTAACAAGATAAGATATACAGATAACACAATGTTGATAGCAGACAGCGAAAGGAAACTACAAGAACACCTACAGAAGGTAGTGAAGGAAAGCAAGAAGAATGGACTAAATATCAATTGCAAGAAGACTGAATGCATGGTTGTCAGCAAAAGGAACAGCTCAATATGCAAATTACAAACGGGAGATACCGAAATCAAAAAATTACAACAATTTAAATATCTGGGAATATATTAAAAGAGGACGGAAAGTGTGACATGGAAATCAGATGGGGCTTGTTCAAATTCAAATTCAATTTAAATCAAAGGGAAAAATTCATTGGTGGGGCGTGACACGAGGGCTCCCTTTTATCAAAGTGAAATATACTTATCCAAGTACCCTGAGTAATGTAATTTCAGAATATATATGGTTATGGGGGTCTATCTCCAAAACCCTAAGAAGTGTTCGATAAGAAACAGACAGACAGACAGACAGACAGACAGAGGCTACAACTTTAAATATCTGGGAATATATATATATATATATATATATATATATATATATATATATATATATATAAGATCCATCCCTGATATTGATCATTTTACCCATAAAATATAAACCTATATTCTTATCCTATGATAACTGCGTGAGAACGCACTGTCGACCACTATTCACCTGAAATTTATTCAGAATTATATATATATATATATATATATATATATATATATACGCGTGTGTGTTTATATATATATATATATATATATATACGCGTGTGTGTTTATATATATATATATATATATGTGTGCGTGTGTGTGTGTGTGTGTGTGTGTGTGTGTGTGTGTGTATGCGTGTGTGTGTGTGTGTGTGTGTGTGTGTGTGTGTGTGTGTGTGCATATGTTTGTGTGTGGTATACATTCGAATCCTGTCTAAAGTACGTGAATAAATACATGGACCTAGGACAGTTTATGTACAATTTTGATCCGAAAATTGAAAAAAATAGCATGCAATACAAAATTTAAACCAACAGTGCTTGCCGCTTGAATTTAATACAACTTGTTCAAATACATAAATGCGTGTGTATGTGTGTAGTGTGCGTGTATGTATCTGTGTGTGTGTCTCTTTCCCTGTCTGTCTATCTCTCTCTGTGTCTGTATATGTGTGTATGAGTGTGTGTGTGTGTGTGTGTACACTTATTTCCACGATGTAGATGACTGCAAATAAGAATCTGTCTTTAGTAAAGCGTGCCTAAATTTATTGCTTTTATTTGGTTTCTCGAACTTTTTGTATATTTGTATAATGATTTCAATATCTTTATCTTTATAATAGGCATGTTTCCATTGTGGAGAAGCGAAATGACTTTGCGACGGCTCTCCTCTGTTCAATATTGCAATCGGGTTCAAAGCAAACATCGCACAATTCTATGAATAATCTTGTTTAAAGTGCTACTATTTGCTCGAGCCCTCGAGTTGATCCACGCTTTGCAGAATTGAGACCGAACAAACAGTAGCAGGATGCTTTATAATAAATGGTCTTTCACAGATAATTGCAACTGAAGCTAGAATCGAAATTAGATCCGAAAATATCAAACGCCACCCTAAGAAATCATTTATGAATGTGTCTAGAACAGGAAAACGAACTCGACGTCTTTATAATTGAAGGCAGCAGGCAGGAACTGATCTTCAAAACATTAAGATCATTGTTTGCTATTAATCAAATTAGGTGTTAAAGGATGCACGATCGCAGACAACTTAGTTATAATGACAACATCGAGTTGACCCACGCATAGACGCCCGCTACACACAACCTGCTCCTTATATCACGTATTGTGTGGGTAAGGTTTAGTAGTAAGGAACTGATAGCTTTCTTTAGCTCCACTCAGTTTTCCACTAACTCTTGTATATATTTTTTTCAATGTGGCAAGTAAATTTGGGAATTATGAGATACAATTGCTTTCTTTCTCTCTCGTTCTTGTTTAAAGCGTTTATTTATTTGCGGAAAATACACATTAATAAATATATATACCTCTTTGTTTTAACACTCACAGAAACTAAACATATATGTGGTTAAGGGTTGCTTTTTTATTTTTATTTTATGATACGAACTTCTACTATTTCAGACGTTATTGTAGTCCTTAAAAATATTTAAAGCTGAAACATTTTGGATTGTAAGAATAATTCATTTTCGAGCAAGTGAGTATTTCATTAACAATTTTCGGAGAATGATTATGACTTTTCCAGTCTTACTCAACAACTTACCATTTGCAATAGAAAAACCGAAATCCTTGAAAATGCCTAATAGATTAGCCAAAAGCGCTCGGAACGCATAATCACTTGGACAATTTTTACCTGCACACAAGTCTCAAGCGAAAGAAATCTCTTGTTCGCACACAAGAAAGACAATAAAAAAAAATTAACAAAAGTACCTTGTCAAACATTTTAATAAAGCATATATTAGAAGGAGATTGCTGGCCAAGTAAACAACTCTCTTTTTTATAGACGCATCATTTCAGGACGGTGGAGTAGTGTGTATAGGAATTGGTTAAGCATATATTACTGTTAACAGACCTTGAAACAATATTCACTGATTCAGCAGAATCAACTGGCGTTACAGGGACAAAATAGCACATAAATCAACAAATATTCAATATCATTTTTTAGAATAATTTTATCTCAAGCAAAGCGATAAAGCCACTGAGATGGAAGCGGTTACTAAAAGTGTAACAAAATAGGAAAACGTTATTGAAGAGAGAGGGCAATAAAAAGATAGGATTCATAATGGCAGAAGATGGTGACTGACATTGCGTTTAAATTAAGATTGTAGTTGACTGGAAGTTGCGAGAAGTACAAGAGAAGAAACTATTAGAATAGAACATACGGCTACATCTAATTATTTCAACATGGTGAGACCTAGGTACCGATGTAGCACTGCGCTTAAAATCGTGAAGTGGAGGTACCAAAATAGAAAGTTCAGTAAAACAATTTCTATGAAAATATTTCTAGAAAAGACACAACGAAGCTTACGTTGCGGCAGTGGGAAAGTGATTGAAGCCGAGGCTGAGCATCTGAAGATGGTTATAGGGTACTTGTCTGAAATGCCGCCTTTGAAATTCCGAATTCCGTATTCTTGGTCATCTTCACTTATCTTCATCTTGTTTTTTTTTGGGGGGGGAATGTTTGCTATGCTTCCTGTAATGATTTACTGCAGTAATTCGATGTAAGAATTTTCACTACGCCTAAGAAAAATCTGTGCTTTCGTGAGAAAAAAAAATGTCTATCAGAGAAAGGACAAACCAAAAAGTTCAAGTGGCCGAAAAGGTTTGCACCGCTAATTCTGGGGGTCGTCTCGCATCTTCCCCTTACAGTTAGAACTCCTACCGCTACAAAATATGATAATTAGGTCCAGAAATAACATCAATATCACCACTATTTCATTTGCAGATAACACGATACGCAACAACCACTTAAAAGCTGACAAGGACAAGATGGCCCAGTGGATAAAATCGTTGGTTGGATCCAGTGACTTGACCCACAGAGTTATTAGTTACTGGCTATTACAGTGGCGAACAAAAACTTGAAGAGTTGAGTTAAAAATATCTGAGACATCCGGAAAAGGCATGGCACGTGGAACTAGGACAATCTATCCAGTGGACGAAATAAAGTGTTCAGTTCGAAATTCCAATCACCTGAAGAAGTCTGGAGTGTACAACGGTCGAAACGTCGTGAATATGACAATAAAGATGAG